CAATTTCATCCTGAACTGAGAAAAGTTGAATACATTTCCTTTCAGAACTGGAACAAGGGAAGGCTGCCCACTTTCACCCTACTATTCATCATAGTACTGGAAGTCCTAGCCAGAGCAATCAGGCAAGAAAACTAACAGGAATCCAAATTGGAAAAGAAGAAATCAAACTCTCTATGGCAGTGATATCTTATACGTCAAGAATTCTAAAGACTCCTGGACTAGATTAATTAATTCAGTAAAGTTTCAGTATACAAAATCAATACACATAGGTCAGTAACACTACTATACACCAAAAGAGATCATGCTGAGAATCAAAACAAGAACTCAATTCCATTCATAGTAGTGGTCAAAAATCTAAAATACTTAGGAATATATTTAATCAAGCAAGTGAAAAATCTCTATAAGAACTACAAAACTCTGATGAAAGAAACTGCAGAGGACACAAACAAATGGAGAAACATCCCATGCTCAAGGATTGGAAGAATCAACATTGTTAAAATGATCATATTACCCAAAGTCATCCAGAGTCTACATAATCCCTATCAAACTACCAATGTCATTTTGCACAGAATTAGAGAAAACAATTCTAAAATTTACATGGAACCAAAAAAGAGCCAAAATAGTTAAAGCAATCCTAAGCAAAAAGAACAAAACTGGAGGCCTACATTACCTGACTTCAAATTATACTACAAGGCTGTAGTAGCCAAAACATCATGGTACTGGTACAGGAGCAGACACATAGACCAATGGAACAGAATAGAGAATCCAGCAATAAATCCAAATGCCTACAACCAACTAATCTTTGACAAAGCAGGAAAAAACACTGGGGAAAGGTCACCTGATTCAACAAGTGGTGCTGGGAAAATGGGATAGCTACGTGTAGAAAAAAATGAAACTTGATCCCTATCTCTTTCCATATACAAAAATTAATTCAAGATGGATTAAAGACTTAAATGTCAGACCTAAAACCAAAAAAAATCCTAGAAGAAAACCTAGGAAAAATTTATGAACATCGACGTAGCAAAGAATTCATGATTAAAACCCCAAAAGCAAATGCTACTAAAAGAAAAATAGACAAGTCAGACTTAAACTAAAAGTCTTCTGCACAGTAAAATAATTAACAGAGCAAACAGGCATCCTACAGAATGGGACAGATGTTTACAAACTGTACATCTGACAAAGGACTAATATCCAGAATCAACGAAGACCTTAAATCAGCAAGAAAAAAAGCAAATAACTCCATTAAAATGTGGGCAAATGACATGAACAAACATCTATCAAAAGAAGATATACAAACGGCTAACAAATGTATGATGAAATACTCAGTATCACTCATCATCGCCAGTCAGGATGGCCCTTATTAAAAAATCCAAAAACACTAGATGCTGGCACAGATGTGGAGAAAAGGGAACACTCATACACTGTTGGTGGGAGTGTAAATTAGTACAACCTCCATGGAAAGCAATATGGAGATTACTCAAAGATCTAAGATTAGAACAACCATTTGATCCAGCAATCTACCCTAAGGAACAGAGGTTGTTTTATAAAAAAGACATCTGCACCCACATGTTCATTGCAGCAAACACCGCATGTTCTCATTCATATGTCTGAACTAAATGGTCCCAGAGATGGAAATAGTAGACACTAGGGACTACAATAAGGGGAAAGGTGGGAAGTTAGGGTTCACAAACTACCTATGGGACACAATGTTCACTATCTGGGGGAATGTGTCACCTGAGACCCAATCGCTACCACTACACAATATGTCCATGTAACAAATATGCATGTGTTCCCCCTGAATCTAAAAAAAAAAAAAAAAAATTTTAAGTCAGAGAATTGTAACCAGTTCTCCATTTCTCAAGAGAAAAGACAACACTAAAGTAACCAAGATGTGAAATGATCAAACAAACACTTTAAAGCAGCTGTGATGAGGGCTCAGTGACTCATGCCAGTAGCCCAACACTTTGGGAGGCTGAGGTGGGAGGATTGCTTGAGTCCAGGGGTTCAAGACCAGTCTAGGCAATATAGTGAGACTTCGTCTCTACAAAAAATTAGCCAGGCATGGTGGTGCACATTTGTAGTTCTGGATACTTGGGAAATTGGGTGACAGAATGAGACCCCGACTCAAAAAAAAAAAAAAAAAAAAAAAAGCAGCTATGCTTCATGAGGTTGTGACACTCTTGAAATGAATGGAAATAAATGTTGTCAATTAAAAAAAAAACAAATTTTCAAAATATCTGAAATAAGAGATTCACTGAATGGGCTCAGAAGCTCATATGGTTGAAGAATCCTGTTAATGAATGTTTATAAAACTTAATTAGCAATCGCCAGGCCGGATGCCGTGGCCCATGCCTGAAATCCCAGCATTTCAGGAGGCCAAGGTGAGATGTTTGCTTGAGCCCAGTAGTTTGAGACCAGCCTGGGCAGCAAAGCAAGACCTTGATTTTACAAAAATATAAAAAATTAGCCAGGCACAGTGACACGTGCCTGTAGTCCCAGCTACTTGGGAGGCTGAGGAGGAAGGATCGTCTAAGCCCAGAAGGTTGAGGCTACAGTAAGCTATGATCATGCCACTGCCCTCCAGGCTGGATGACAGAGTGAGACCCCTGACTCAAAAAGAAAAAAAAATGCCAAAAATTGGATCAACCCTAATATACTGGTGAATGAATAAACAAACTGATGCCTCCATATAGTGAAAAGAATGAACTTGTATACACTTGTGTGAATCTCAGAGTTATTATGATTCGTGAAGGAAATCAGTCTCAAAAGATTCTGTACTTTTATTCCATTTACATGATTTTCTGGAAAAGGATAAACTATAGATATGGAGGAGAGCAGGGGTTGTTGCTAGTGAGAAGAGGTGACTACAAAGGAAGAACCTGAAGGCATGTTTTCTTAAGGTGATGGACCTTTCTGTATCTTGATTGTGGTGGTGCTTGTCAAAACTTCTGGGACTATACACCACAAAGTGAATTTTATTGTTGCAAATTTTTTAAAATCGTTTTTAAAAAAAGGAAAGGAAAACCACATTTGGAATGAATTGTTTATCTATTTCACACTTCCTACACTAAAAGTCTCCAAGAGGCCGTACTTTGTCCCCAGTTTAGGAATTTCTAACCCAAGGACATGCAACAACTTTTCTCTCCTTGCTACTCTGAAATCTCATGTGAGAGAGTGAGCTAACCTCAAGGATTAGAGGCCGGGTGAAGAGTGGTTCAGCCAGCCCCAGCTGACAACCAGCATCCATAACCCACCAGCTGCCTGCAGTCATGTGAGTGATGTCAAGTGAGACTGGCAGAAGAAGCCCAGCTGAATCCAATCCAAATTTCTGACCCACAGAATCATAATCAGATGTAATGGTTGTTAATTTAACCACCATGTTTCAGGGTGGCTTATTACACAGCACTGGATAACTGGTGTCATATCATCCATTAGTGGAAGCAAGTTATATTGTATTTCCCATCAGAATTTCCCCCCTAATTTTGATGCTAGAAATGTTACAGGAAATACTTTGTTCTCTAGAAGGAATGGGGGGAGGAATATATTAATAGCTTACTCCTGGAGAATTCTATTAGGTGATGTTTTCTTGCATAAAGCCCACATAAAGTATTATGTTTATCATATCTGTAGTAACTTGTTCATCTCATAGTTATATTTTAAAAGAGACATTCAGAAATTAGGCAATGTACAGAGAGTCAAAGATGAGAGTGAGAGCTTCAGGAACCAATAATTTAGGTGACAGAAAGTGAAAAGACTAATGGGATGTATTGTGGCCATTTAAAAATATATGATGGGCTTTCTTAGAAACCTGTATTGTTTTGGATCCAGAAGCTGGATTAATATATAATACATAGAAGTTAAAGGAATGAAGAATACTCTTATACATGAACTGTCCAGAAGTGAATGGTGCTGCTTAAAAAATCAGCCCCCTTTCCAAAAGAAATTTTCAAGCAAGCTGAATGGTCACATCTTAGAGCTGTTTCCTGTACTGTATGTGCCCAGTGACTCCAGCACATGTAAGACACCACTTGGTAATTTTCTAAAGTTCCTTTAGACTCTTGAGTTTTGGGCGGTTTTGTTGTTGCTACTTGGCATCACAAGCATAGCAATGTTTTGATAACTGGCTGTCCTTTTCATTAGTGAGATTTTGCAGATATGTCTCTGATACAAGTAGCCAAATAAAGTCGTTTGCCTTCACAATCTGTAGGCTCAGGCACTTTTTTTGAAAACTGAAATCCAAACAAGCTGGAGATATTTTCTCTCTCCTGCTTACAGCTTGCCAAGTGAAACACGCGTAGCAGGAATTGTGTAGGAGAGAGAAAAACTGTTACATTCAGCTTGGTTTGCATTGCCAAAAACTGGACTGCAAACAGGGTCAGTGTCATGGGCATGTCAGCTGTGCAGCTGCACAGGATCCCATGCTTGACTTAATGGTCTACTATAACTGTTCTTGATATTCTTAATTTATGAGCAAGGGACCCTCAAATTCTGTAACTGATCCAAACTGCAGTTTTTATCTGTAGTTTCTCACCACCCTTGTTTTGCAGACTTATGCCTGCCTTTATAGTGGAATGAGACTTCTTTTTTAAGTTATCTATTGCCTAATGACCAATTGCTATAGTCTCTCTTAGTCCTCATTCATTTTATCCTGCATCTAATATTGTTAACAGACCATTCCTTTGAATTTCCTCTTTGGTTTCCATTAATTTTTATGATTATGGTTTTCCCTTATCTTTGAACTTTTTAATAAAACCAAGTAGAATGATGGAATGAAGTTAATAGTCCATACCTCAGGGGTTTTTGTCCCTTAGAATATACCCATACTCTATTCACAATATACGTTGGTACTCCCTTATTCACAGACTCAGTGACAAAATGATTTCCAAATGGATAAATATAAAGGCTGAACTATATAGTTTCTACCTGGCTGGTATTACAGTCATATGCACATTGGGGGAGGGGGTATTTTCCTTAATACAGCAATGAAGTGAAAAACATACCAAGGCTATCATCAGTTGAATATATAAATGGTCTTAAATTTCCTCGAGTCTCCTTCACAAAGTAGTCAATGATGCTGAAAAGGTTTGGGAGTGTTACCTGAATAAAGAGAGAGGAAAAGGACTCAGTGGGATATTTAAAGCCAGAGAATTTAGGCATTTTAATATTTTATTGCAACAGGATAATTTACTATTCTAGGTGTAACTGAAATGTGTCTCTATCCTCTAAACTAATATTTTTATACAAGTGAAATTAAATTAAACCTGAATATCCTAGGTAACCTTGAAGAGGAAAATATTCATGAATCAGGAGTGGTGGCACACACCTGTAGTTCTAGCTACTCAGGAGGCTGAGGTAGGAGGATGACTTGAGCCCGAGAGTTTTGGTGCACTATGATCACACCTGTGAAGAGCCACTGCACTCAAGCTTAGGCAACATAATGACACCCTTGTCTTGAAGAAAAAAAAATTTGCAAAAATACAACCTGATTTTGAGGTTGAGGGTTATGTTGGGGAGGGTGAAAGGTGAAAAGATGATCCAGGCTGTTAATTTTCCTCACACTGTGGTCTGTGTCAGCTGACAGAAATGATCCCCAGGTCACCAGTTGGGAAGATACATTATTCTTCCTGGCCACTGCTTTCAGTCACTTGGTTATTTGGAGTATGTTTTAGCAAACTAATTCTCTGCCTCCTTTATTAGAACTTTATTTTAAAATCCCAGTCAGGTCAGGAGCAGTGGCTCATGCCTGTAATCCCAGCACTTTGGGAGGTGGAGGCAAGAGGATTGCCTGAACCCAGGGGTTCGAGACCAACCTGAACAACTTGGAGAGACCTTGTCTCTACAATAAAATTAAAATTAGCCAGGTGTGGTGGCACACGCCTGTAGTTCCAGCTACTTGGAAGGCTGAGGTAGAAGGATCGCCTGAGCCCAGTAGGTCAAGGCTGCGGTGGCTGTGAGCATCCCACTGCACTCTAACCTGGGCAACAGAGTGATACTCTGACTCAAATAAATAAATAAATAAACCCCAGACATAGTTCTGAGAACTGAGAAGCTCTGGGAAACATTTATGGCAAAGGTGTCAGTAACTTCCTTGCTTTCTAAGGATTATGCCCAAAACATAAGAAATTCAACCACACTGTCCCTTTTTCTATTTGATCAACCCAATGGCCTAGAGAAGCAGAGGATCTAGCTCAATTTTGGAGAAATATATATTCAAGGCTTAAATGTCAATATTTAAGAAATATCCAGAGACATCTTTCCTGATGCAATCTTCCCACTACCACAGCCTAAAATTACAGAGCAAAATCTCCTTTTTTCAACATCTTGAAATGTAGCCCACACCACCACATTCTTATTGGTTGAGACCAGTGTAAGTGCCAATTTTCTCACCTGTATAAAAGGCATAAATATATCTACCGAAGGGTAATGATAAAGATTAAATTGGTTAATATATGTAAGTACTTAGCTCTGTGCCTAACACGTTATCTGGTGATTATAAGATATTGTTACCCTTAAAGTAAATCAGCTAGAGTAAGAGAGGGATTGAAGACAAAGAAGAAACCTTTTCTTCACTAGTATGTTGCTATTAAGATGGGATTTTTTTAACTGTATGGCAGGAATTCGAGGATTAGGCATTCACAGGTTTCATTCCATTAGAAATAAACATATTTAAATAGTTATTATTGGAAGATGTAAGACAGATATTTAGCAAAAATATCTTTTTATCACTGAAACAATTATATTGATAAGGCTAGGCATGGTGGCCGATGCCTGTAATCCCAGCACTTTGGGAGGCTGAGGTGGGAGGATTGCTTCAGCCTGGGTGTTCAAGACCAGCCTAGGCAACATAATGAGATCTCATCTCCACAAAAAAATTAAAAATTTGGCTGGATGTGGTAGTACATTCCTGTGTTCCCAAACTATTCGAGAGGCTGAGGTGAGAGGATTACCTAAGCACAGGAGGTCAAGGCTGCAGTGGGCTGTGATCTTGCCATTGAACACCAGCCTGGGCGACAGAGTGAGACTTCAACTCAAAAAAATAGATATATAAGGAGGGGCCCAAAAAAACCCCTAAATTATCTTTTGGAGAGTGTGCCCCTGAAGTACACTCAGAATTTTTTCCTCCAGATCAAACAGTCAACCAGAGTTTTTATCTGGAAGTTTTGAGAAGGTTGTGTCAAGATTTGTGGAGGAAACATCCCAAGTTGTGGCAAACAGGTGATGGTTCTTCCACCATGACAATACACCTGCCCACACCACACTGTGTTTAGAGTTTTTTGACCAAACACAGCATCCTGTGCCCCACCCTTTCTATTAACGCGATCTTGCCCCCAAGCAATTTTTTTTTTCTCCAGATAAAAAAAAGTCCTCAAAGGGAAATATTTTGCTGATGTGGAAGAAATGAAACAATAAACAGCAGAAGCACTAAAAGGCATCAAAATTGACAAGTTCAAAAACTGTTTTGAGTGGTAGAAAAGCATCTTGATAGATATATTGTGTCAAACAGAGAATACTTTGAAGGTGATTGAAGTTTAAACATGTAAGAATAAATACACATTTTTTAAAGAAATAAATTCCAGGGTTTTTTGGGAGAGAGATAAGAGTTGCAGAGAAAGAAAAGTGGAAAGAGTTTTTTAAAAGCAGATTATCTTGACCAGACTCGGTGGCTCAGCCTGTAATCCCATCACTTTGGGAGGCCGAGGTGAGTGGATTGCCATAGCCTAGGGGTTCGAGACCAGCCCAGGCAACTTGGCAAGATCTCGTCTTTACAATAAATCAAAAAATTAGTCAGGTGTAGCACAAACCTGTAGTTCTGGCTACTTAGAAGGCTGAGGCAGAAGGATGGCTGGAGCCCACAAGGTCAAGGCTGCGGTGGCCGTGAGTGTGTAACTGCACTCCAGCCTTGGTAACAGAGTGAGATTCCAACTCAAAAAAAAGTAAACATAACCTGGCATAGTGGCTCACATCTGTAATCCCAATACTTTGGGATTCTCTACAATAAATCAAAAAAAAAAAAGTGCTGGGCACAGTAGCTCAAGCTTGTAATCCCAGCATTTTGGAAGGCTAAGGCGAGAGGATTGCCTGAGCTCAGGGTTTCGAGACCAGTTTGGGCAACTTGGTGAGACCTTGACTCCACAATAAACCAAAAAATTAGCTGGGTGTGGTGGTGTGTGCCTGAAGTTCCAGCTTCTTGGAAGGCTGAGGCAAAAGGATCGCCTTGAACCCAGCAGGTCGAGACTGGGGTGGCCATGAGCGTGCCACTGCACTCCAGCCTGGGCGACAGAGTGAGACTCCAACTCAAAACAAAAAAAAGCAGATTATCTTTTACTCTGCCTTACCCACTTATTCTTGCATCTCACTTCTTACCCTGTATATCTGCTACCTCAGGGATCCTTAACTTGGCTTTTTGTTTTTTTGTCGTTGTTTGTTTTGCCAGAATTAGGTTCCTAGGGAAGAAATCTGCCCTGTATTGTTTAACGAACCAGGAAAAAGTTCATCAATGACAAAGAAATCACTACTTACAGGTTTTTCCAGTTCAATAATGTAGTTTTTCCCGATGCTTGTCACTTTATAGTGCTTGATTCTTGGCACGCTAAAATGAACCAAATGGTTAATTTCCATTTGCTGACGTGATTGGGTCGATGCAAACTAAAATAATTATACTTATCACTTATGTAGTAAACCTGTGTTCCTCCCATGACTACAGTTTGGCAAAAATCTTTGGTGGTTTTGGTTTTCCTTTTCTATTTTCTTTTTTTTTTTCTTTTTCTTTTTTTCTTTTTAGAGACAGGGTTTACTCTGTCACCCAGGCTGGAGTGCAATGGCACAATCACAGCTCATCACAGCCTCAAACTTCTGGGCTCAAGCAATCCTCCTGCCTTAGCTTCCCAGGTAGCTGGGATTACAGGTGTTCACCCCCACCAGGCTGGTCTCAAAATCCTGGTCTCAAGCAATCCTCCTGCCTTAATCTCCCAAAGTACTAGGATTACAGGCATGAGCCTCCATGCCCAACCGACTTTTGTTTTTCTGTTTGCTTCGTTTGCTATGTCTCTTTTGGGAGGATTTCTTATTAGGAATATCGGAAATCTGGGTCATTGAGTGAGTACATGAGCAGCAATAAACAGAAAAAAGAAATCATAAAATCTTGTAGGCATAGGCAAATCAAATACATATTCTCTATATTAAAAGTGGAAATAATTATGTAAAAAATTGCTTTCTTCTACATAATCACTAATTTAACCAGAAAGCCCTCAATAACTGTGATTCCTAATAGCTCATATCACCCTGGATATCTGCTAACTTTGGGGCTGACTTAGCAATATGGAAAATGTTATGTGTTAGACACTATATGAACACATAGATGGGACTGTGAGTACAGCAGCTCACTTAATGTCTTTCTCCTTTTTAAAATTTTTTTTAAAGTGTATTATTTAAAAAGTTTTTTTAATAGGAGTGAGGTCTTGTCATGTTGCTTAGGCTGGTCTCAAACTCCTGAGCTCAAGCAGTCCTCTCACCTCACCTCAGCCTCCCAAAGTGCTAGGATTATAGGCATGAGCCACCACACCTGGCCAAATGTCTTCTCTTCTGTAGTCACATAGTACTCTAAATTGTTACCACTGTAAACACATGGTATTTTATTAAGTATGAGCTGCTTATGAACAAGAAGCATATTCTGTTCATTCTTTTATTCTAGCATTAGGCACACAATAAATCTTTATGAAACTGAATTTTAAAAATATTAGCAGTCCATCTTGTAGTGTTATCTGTTAGAACTAAACAAATATATACTGAGATAAAAAGTCATTGTCCATGCTAGTTAGTTTTGAATAGAGATGTTTGTCTTGAACTCCCATGATTCATATGCCAAGAGTGTTAGAACCAAAACTTTTTCTAATGTTGACATAGGTACTAGTGTTTATTATGTTGCCATTTGCTTGAATGACAAACTAACTGAACATTTGTCCTATGTACAGTAGCTGTCCAAAGCAAAATTTTTCTCAGGTCAAGCTGATCTGCAGAGACTTCCCACTTTCTCCTTCTCTTCTCTTCCTTCCCTCCCTCCCTCCCTCCTTTCCTTCCTTCCTTCCTTCCTTCCTTCCTTCCTTCCTTCCTTCCTTCCTTCCCTCCCTTCTGTTTCTTTCTTCTTCTCTCTCATTTCCAGTTAATATTCTTGAAAGACTGAACTACACCAAAGTCATCTATCTATTCAGGAGACTCTTTCCTCATCTCCATTATATCCAAATCTTTCCATTGGATATCACAGTGGAAAACAGCTAATGAATTAATTCCAATGACCTACCTTCAAAACATGAGATAGAACCTAACCAACGCTGTTTTCTCCTGAAAGAAGGTATTCCTTAATGCTGAAACTTCAGGAATCAGTTACAGACTGGCAAGGGAAAGAAACATTTTGGACAGAGGAGGTTTTACAAATACCCTTATGAGATGGTTGGTTCTGGCTTTATCTTTACCCTTGTCATAAAAAGATCTTTGTAATTAGGCAATTATACTTGAAAATGCTTCAATTTCAATTAGAATTTCTGTAGTCCTATAAAATAAGTGATTGCTCTTCTGGTGATGCTTTGCTCCACAGGGCTGTTGTAAGTTAATGTTTGCAAAATCCTTAAATTAGTTTCTGGCACATTTAAGCCCTTGGAAAGTTATAAACTATTCTTTGCAATAAATTTTAAAATTTATTGCTTTAATTGAGTAGTTTCTGTGGGTCTCGTCCTCTTCATCAATGTATTTCTTTTCTATCTCACTCACTGTCTCAGAATTTAGTTCTTTCTATCAGTCAGAAGTTCCAAGGGATTCTGTTGACCTTTGCCACTCTTCCTCCCACAGTGTTGCCATGAATGATGATGATGATGATATGGTGGCTTTTATTAACAACAACTATTTTCCCCCTTACAGGTCACCATTTGTGGGCCTTGTGTTGAGTGCTGGCAAACATTTCCTTCAGGCACAATAAAAACTTTGAGACACACAGTATTTTCCATGAGGACGAGAATGAATTTTAAAGGGAAGCAATTGTAGAGAGTATTTTTATTTTAGCCTCTTATACTATAGAGCTGAATGTAAATAATTTGGTAGAAACCTAGACGATTAGGAATCATCTCGGTTTCTAGATGATTCACCCACAAAACCAATTCATTTCATGAGATAGAAAAGAAATGCATTGAAGTCGCTCAAACTTTGGCTCTCATTTTAGACTTTCTTTCATGTTTTGTTTTGCTTTCCAAAAGAAACAGAGTTGAAAAAACACAAGATTGATAAAATTAAAATTGTTCAGGTTTCCTGATGACCTCAAAACATAAGTAACTAGGTATTTTTGTTTTGCTTTGTTTTGTTTATTTTAAATATATGGCCTTAAATGTGGTTATAAGTATTTATTCTTAGCATCTGACCTCAGTTTTGCAAATGAATGAATTATAGATAAATATTTTCTACTGCTTCCTTAGCTAATGGCTTTCCAAAGTTTTCCTACTACTTTGGCACCTAGTCAAAATAATTTCAAGAAAATCAAATCATGAAGTTTATTTGAATAATATAGCTTTATGTCTTATGAATTCACACACCACTGGACTTGGTAAAGGTAGATAATATTCTACGCCAAGAGGGGAGTCACCTGATAATTTGGCATTGAATGGCTTTTGTTTATTCCTGAGGACAATCTTCCCTCCCACAGCTGATCTGTTAACAGATGAAGATAATTTTATTTTCTAGTACTGCTTTGTAAACCAACATGTCCTTTTCAGCTAGTGTTTTACCAGAAACACTCATCTTAACTTGCATGACTGAATGTTTCTCCTATAACCTATGAGAGAATGAATTGGTTTTGTGGGTGAAACAGGTGATCCCTAATCGTCTAGGTTTCTACCAAATTATTTACATTAAGCTCTATAGTATAAGAAGCTAAAATGATAATACTCTCTACAATTGCTTCCCTTTAAAATTAAATGACCTGTTAAATAGAATATACTAACTCCAAGCATTCTAAAAAGCCTCTTCTAACACACTACAGAACACACATTATACTCTTACATCATAGATGGATCTAGCACATAAAGAATATTTGTACAACACAGTTAAAATTGATCTTATCTATCTCCCAAAGCCTCAATAAGCACATAGATTACTCTAGTTTGACCATTCTACCTCACTTCTTGCTTTCCAAATATGAATTTTTTGGGGAGAGGGTGATTTGTTTTATTAAATATCATGGGTTTTTATGACCATCAGCTGACAAAACCACGAATTTCTGTATGAATGCAAACCAAAAGTGAGCATACTAAAATCAGAATTATGCAATTTTGTTGTGAACTCTTTTCCCAGACTCTCGAGTTTAAAAGATAGCTTAAATACAATACAAACATGAGTAAAACTGAGACTTAAATTCATACCCTAAGTATAGAAATTTCATTGCATTTGGTCACAAACCACATTTGTAGCAGATAAGAGTTATTTCTCATAGCTCAATTGTATGGAAAATGAAATGCAAAAGTTGGACTAATTTAGATCACCTTAAAAGAGATCAGGCTGCTATTGTGCAAGAAATATACAGACCTTAAAGAGCCATCAGGTCTAAGGACTTTGTTCATTTAATGCAGAATGGGGTAACACAAGGTTCACATGCAAATGGATCAATGAAATCAAGAAATTACATGAAGGAAAAAATCACTGTCTTTTGTGATCTGATTTTGCTTTCAAACGGTTATAATATGTCTTTTCAAAAAATCTATATTTTAGTTCAGTTTTAATTCCTCATTTTTAAAAAGAGAAGTAAACTGTTAAAGATATTTTGTGATTTGTATGATATACAATTTTCTAAAACATGAAAAAAGACAAACTTCTTGACCAGGATATATTAAACAGAAAAATCTACTCCCAGGAGTTCCTCTAAACTGATACTTAATGGCAGTCATAACAGCAAGAAAAGTTATTTTGGCAGGGCATGGTGGCTCATGCCTATAATCTCAGCACCTTGAGAGGCTGAGATGAGAGGATTGCTTGAGCCCAAGAATTTGAGACCAGCCTGGGCAACATGGAAAAACCTAGTCACTACAAAAGTAAAAAGTAAATTAGTCAGGTGTGGTGGCATGCACTTGTAATCCCAGCTATTACGGAGGCCTACATGGAGATTATGGTGAACCTTGAATGCACCACTGCACTCTAGCCTGGTTGACAGAATGAGACTCCGACAATCAATCAACCAATCAATAAATAGAATAACTTATTTCTTTTGGATTTGTTTCAAGATTGATAGTTAATTAAATTATAAATCAAATAAGTTATGGTTGGAAAGTCTATGCTATTCTACCATATTTCAGTGGAATCAAAAATCTGTTAATTCCAAATGTTAGCATATAAGAAACAGAAAATAATGAAATCATGAGATGATTAAATTGACATGTTCATTATAGAAAAATACACATACACATTCTCTTATAGAGCCATAATCTGGTTTGCTATCTAATATCGCCATCCGTTCAGTAAACAGGGCTAGTGTATAAAGACAATTATCTGTTTATATGGAATAATTGGCAAGCAAATGAAGATTGTTGGGCCATCGCTCATACAAGCAAGGCTGCCATAATGCCATAATTTTAATTTTGTCCTGAAAGTGATTATTTGCTTTTACTGTCTTTATTCACCATCAGTGACTTTATATCAATCTATTTAGAATAATAGATATTTATGGGGTAGATTGATAGATAGATATGTTACAGTTAAAACATTAATAGAATAGCCAGATGCAGTGGCTCACACCTAGAATCCCAGCACTTTGGGAGGCCTAGGTGGGAGATTGCTTGAGTCCAGGAGTTCGAGACCAGCCTAGGCACCAGAGTGAGTCCTTGTCTCTACAAAAAAATAGAAAAATTAGCCAAGTGTGGTGGCATGGGCCTGTAGTCCCAGCTACTTGGGAGGGGGAGGCAGGAGAATCACTTGAACCCAGAAGTTTGAGCCTGTGGTGAACCGAGATCGGGCCACTGTACTCAGCCTAGGTGACAGAGTGAGACCCTGACAAAAAAAAGAAAAAGAAAAAGTTAATACAATAATATTATCCCCATAAAGACTAGAAAACTCAAGAGTCAGGGTGGCCGTTTTTATAGATAAGTTAGGTATGTCAACAGACCAATGGCCTCTCATGTCATCCAGAGTAAAACCCTTGTCCAGACAATAACCTGTAGGGCTGGAATCTCATCTCCTACTACTTTTCTTGCTTACATCATTGCAGTCACAGTGGCCTCTTTCTGTTTCTTGAACAAGCCAAGCACTCTTCTGTCTTGAGACCTATGCACTTGCTGCCTAGAACGCTTTTGACCCAGATATTGACATAGTTTGTTCTCTCACTTCCTTCTGGTCTCTGCTTAAATGTCAGTTAATAAAGCAGACCTTTGGCTGGGCTAGGTGGCTCAGCCTGTAATCCCAGCACTTTGGGAGGCCGAGGCAAATGGATTGCCTGAGCCCTTGGGTTCAAGACCAGCCCGGGCAACTTGGCGAGACCTCGTCTCTACAATAAATAAAAAATTAGCTGGGCATGGTAACTGTGCACTTGTAGTTCCAGCTACTTGGAAGGCTAAGGCAGAAGGATCGCTAGAGCCCAGCAGATCGACACTGGGGTGGCCATGAGCATAGGTGCCACTGCACTCCAGCCTGGGCAAGGGAATGAGACTCCAACTCAAAAAAATTTTTAAAAATAAAAAATAAATTAGACCTTCCCTGACAACTCTATAAAAAAAAAAAAAATAGCAACCACAGAAATGTGGTCTTTATATCACCTCTAAGGAGAGTCCTATTTCTCTCAGCCTGCTTTATTTTATTCCATAGACCTTACCACTATATATATATTTTTAGCTATATATTTATTTTAAGTCTGTCTCCTTACAAGAATGTAAATTAATTGAAGGTTGAAGCCAGGGATGTTTTTATTTATTTTTTTTATTGTTAGACAACTCAAACCAATACAGGGCTGTGGTATTTTTTCACTGCTGTATACTCAGTGCCTAAGTATTACTTGGCACATAGCTGCTCAATAATTATTGAATTGGGCCTGGTGCAGTGGCTCATGCCTGCAATCCAAGTGCTTTGTGAGGTCGAGGTGGGAGAATCACTTGAAGCCAGGAAGCCGAGACCAGCCTGGGCAATCTAGCAAAATCCCATTTCTGCCAAAAATTTTAAAAATTAGCTGAACATGGTGGCACATGCCTGTAGTCCCAGCTACCTAGGAGGCTGATTTGGGAGGACCACATGAGCCCAAGAATTGAGGCTGCAGTGAACTATGATCACATCACTGTACTCCAGTCTGTCTCCAAAAATAAATAAATAAAAATGTGTGGAATTGAATGAATGAGCATTACAACTATATCCAGGACCAAAATAATGCTCATTCTTCTTTCCTGCTATAGATGTTAGTGTTGGCTTAGTCTTTTTTTAATTGTAAGGATGTGGGGTACAATTCAGGGTTAGGTATACAAGTGTTCATTATGCAGGTACCCTTGTTGAGGAGGTGTGCCCCCCCGCCTCCCCCCACCTCCTGGCAGATTCCTACTTCTGGTTGGCTCAGTCTTTCGCATTGTTTTCACGACATCCTGTACCTATTCTTGTGTTCATCTATTTAGCCCCAGCAAAACACATAATAGGTGCTGATCTGAACTCGTCTGATTTGGCTATCTAAAGTGATAAAGTGTTTTTAACAATTTCATACTTCTTAAAAATTAAACATACTCTTTCTCCTGCCGGATTGTGATGGAGTAGTTTCCACTGTCACTCCCAGGCCTCAGAATCATGTTTCCCAGGGAAGGATTCTTCTGGAGCATGTCAGTGGCTTCTTTCCGAGACACTGCATAAAAACATCTACAGAGGTGAGATTAAAAAATAGAATTTTTTTTAAACTTAAGACCATTACTTGGGGAAAAAAATGCTACCAAAATAACTTTGAGAGCTTCAGTTGTTAGCTTTTCTTAAAACTTCCAGATTATAATTATAAAATTACAATGAACTCTTCTTAGAGGCCTGTGCTACTCTAGGTATGCTAATACTTAAGGCCTTCCTTCATTTCTCCAAAGCATCTTTAAACAAAGACAACCTGGAAAGGTATCTATGATCAGTATATAATCACCCTTTGACAATCGAACACAAGAATTAACAATGTGTCCCCAATCTCAGTTACAAATAGGATCTTGAATAAATATTTGTTAAGGGTTCTTTTCAGGGATACAAAACATCTCTAAATGCTTCTCTTGTGTGGTCAGTGTTTTAAACAACTGATATTTAAGAAGATGTCTGAACTGTTTTGGAATAATCTTTATATGACATAATTAAGTGTTGAATATTTAATGCAATTTATTGAATACTGTACTGAAAGTGAAAGACAGAAGGGTTGTATGGGTACTCAAAAAAGTACAGTTTCTTCAGCTACTTGGAAGACTGAGACAGAAGGATCACCTGAGCCCAGCAGGGCAAGGTTGCAAAGGCATTGATCGTGTCACTACACTCTAGCCTGGGCGAAAGAGTGAGACTCCAACTCAAAAAAAAAAAAAAAAGTTTCTGCTGAATGCATATTGCTTTTGCATGAACTTATATTTTTAAAAAATCACAAGTTGAACCATCACAAATCAAAAGCCATCTGTATATTGTAGTCAAGAAAATGTATAGTCATATTCTTAGAGAAAATATGGTAGAATAGTCAATACTCCAGAATTGTAATGGCATATATCTCTGAGTGGTGAGACAAGGAATAATTTTATTATTATTTTTAAACAAAATGTTTTGTTTCAAAAATTGAGACAAGGTCTCACTATGTTGCCCACATTGGACTCGAACTCCTAGCCTCAAGCAATCCTCCCTCCTCAGGCTCCCGAAATGCTAGGATTACAGGCGTAAGCCACCGTACCCAGACTGATTTTAATCTTTTTACTATCTGTAATAGACACATATTAATTGTTTTATTGAAGGAAAAAAAGAAAGTAAAAGAAGCCATCTGTGTGACTTTCAACCTGTCAGTCCACTAGTTGTCATTGGTTCAGGCAAAAGTGATGACTGGCAGGTTTCAGTGATTGTAGTACAGGTAGAATATGTATCAGAACCTGTGTCAAAGATGGTACCTGACCAAGTTTTACTGACAAGAGCACCAAGATTCCAGAAGGAAAGAGCTCACAATCTTTTCAACAAAATAAAAGATAAATGTAGGATGTTGCTGAATTTAACATATCCTGTACCTCCTTGTTTTTCCAGCAACACTTTACACAGGGACTTCCTCAAAGTTCAAACTCAATGACTACTCACTGATTGAGTGGTCAGTTGAATAGAACATTCTATGTATTTAAAATTCTTTGGTATAACTTTTTTGGTAGAAAATCAGTCAGTCATAAAGTTGCATGGTTAAAAAAAAAATCTTTTCTTGCCTTCTTCATAGGAGTTTTTATTTAGGTTTGAGCTCTGGAAAGTATATCTATTTGGTCTAAAGACGTGGGTGGAAGGGGATTTCCTATGTGGTAAGAGGGTTGAGAGTATCTCTGAGTACTTGCCACATTTCCTCTTCTATGCCATGATCAACAAAACATTTTGATACTTATTCCCAAGACTGCTTAATCAGGTCAAGTGGCTAACTCTCCTTGGTAATGAGAAATTAGTTTTAACAACTGAATGAATAAACTGGATTCATTGTGCACTTACGCTGGCATAGGATTCAGTACATCCACATAATCTTCAACTGGTTCCTTCTCTTTTTCCACAGATGTACTCTTCTCTGTCTCAATCCTCCTTCTCTTTTCTCTATCTAGGGCTTCGTGCAATCTAATTATTTGCCCAGGTAGAAGTGACACATGTTGGGGAACTGACAGCTGAAACCAATGAAAAGAGTAGGCAGACAAGAAAACAGCTGAAGAGCTTACTGGCTTTAGTAAAGATGAGTCTGTTCTGGTCCTATAGAGCTTCAGTTACCTGACAGAGATGGATGGGTAAAATAACCAAGAGAGGATCTCAGTCTACGGTGGGTGTCTTAGGATTGGCTCTACGCTAACTAGAACCTGCGCAGAGTGCCCACTGTCTTCCAATAAATCTTCCTTTTGGTTTGACTTCACAACAGCGTATACCCACCTTACACTACAAGCTAATTTGAGTAACAAGAAACCTCACATTTTCCATTCTGAGTCCACTAGTTCATCAATGCCAGTGAAATGCCAGAGTACCTTCAAAGTGCCTCATTCTCTTAGAGTTACCTGGAATAAACTCCCCAGCCCTATGGCATCATGGGGTTCAGGTGGAACTGCTTGTTAGATTGACAGAAAATTAGTGATCGAAGGTCTGTGTTTTGTGTTTGTGTGAACATTTATTTGTACGTTAGAATTATGATACTTCTCTATTTATTACTTAATTTGGTGGTGTTGTGTTGTTAACTTTTCTAGAGATATATTTTGGATTGATTCATCTACATAGCCTTTCTGAATTATTATTTATACTTCCAATTTAGACCTCATTATGATAGGCTATGTGTTTTTAGAAGGTGTAGTTTAAATGGTAGAATATGTTTCTTAATGTGACACTGGCTAGTCTATATTTGGAGGCAGCCATGTGTGATTATCACCTTTATCTTCAGAGGGGAGTGAAAGTTTTCCAAGAGGTATACAATAAAGTACATTAGAGTGTGGGAAGAAAACATTAGACCTTCACTTTCTATTAAGTAACTATTTCATTAGTTCTTATTATTGTTTATGTTTTATTATGTATATATGTATATATGAAATTTACATGAAAATTTACTAATAGGGGTACGTAATCAGAAGATTTAGAGACCATCCTTCTAGATAAAGCTATTTTTTTTTCTGGTTATATACCAAACCAGAAAAAAAAATAATGAGGAAAAAAGGAAATGAGACAGATATCCTTATTAATTGACTATTATAGCTCAAATATGGCATATGTGTTATTACAAGTCCTCACAACAATGCTACAAGTTATTATCCCCACTTTTACAAATGAAAAAAAAAGGCTCAGAAAGATTAAATAACTAGTCTAGGATCACATAGCTAATAAGTTAAGTAAGTTAAGGAACTGGTACTCACGCTGGGACTTATTCAAAAGCAATGTCTCAGCTCTTCAAATACATACAGTCTGTGATTTTCACACTTCTCTATAAAAGTATCCCTAATAACAACACAGTGTAAATGATCATGCAATAGTGATTTGGGACCATGTCACAAAACAACGTTTACAGAGCACTAAACTGGAGATAACTTGTCTTCTCATGAAATCTCACATGAATTTTATTTTTTATTTTGTAATATATTTATGTGTGTGTTTTTGTTGTCGTTGTTATTGTTTTTTAAGAGACGACGTCTAACTCTGTCATCCAGGCTAGAGTACAGTGGTGCACACTGCAACCTCCTGAGCTCAAGCAATCCTCCCTCTTCAGCCTCCCAAAGCACTGTGATTATAGGAGTATGCCACAACAACCAGCCCTTCACATCTTTAACTGGCCCACTTTTCTAGTCTCCTATGACTTTCAGTTGAACCTTCAACTGTTACATGTTACTGACTGAGATAAAGAATCAGCATCTATCATCTTGGTAAAGTGCAATGCTTATTTCATGTGACTGCAAAGCTTTTACTGAGAAACTAGCTGGGGATAGAGTGTTTAACTGACTCTAATAAACGTGGCAAGTTTTTATATCCTTTAAAAGAATTAAGGAACATGGTGCTTTTTGGGGGGCTGGTTATCAAAGTACCTCATGTTTCCAAGACAGTTGCAGCAGTGGCATTATTTAAAATAATGGACGTTATCTTGCTGTAACAGTTAACGCTAAGCAGTAGATCTTACTATTTGCCTCTGATAAGATGTCACAGAGTTGAACAGATAAGCATCTTTTGTTTTAAGACTCACTAAACAAATGCAGAAAGGTGAGTTATCATTTTTATGGACTCTCCCTGTTATATTATCTGTGTTATTTATAAAATTCATGTCAGTTAACATTTTATAAATATGTATTAAATGAATAAGAAAGAGATTGGAATATATTTTAGAAGGTGAGGTATAATCTACAAATATCAGAATATACAAAGGACCACTGTGTCAAAAGGATAACACCAAAAAGCAGATCTTTTACCACCTGTTATTCCCTACCACATTGCCTTGTTTATTTTCTTCACAACAATTATATCAAGCCAACATGATCTTGTTTATCTACATGCTTTCTTCTCCCTCTCCACCATCCTATAAAAATATGACTTTCATGAGTAAGTGAAGGATTAGATCTATATTTTTCAATTGCTGTATCTTCAGACACTTTCACTCTTCATGGTTCATGGTAGGTGCTCAGCAAGTATTTGTTGAAAAAATAAATCAATCACAAGTAATGACCTTCCTACCTCTGTTATCGTAAGAATGAAGCCTTTCCATTCCTCCCCACTTTCTGTGTTCTCTGTCTAAAGTTGGAGACAAAACCAGATAAAGACAGAAGGAAACACATGAGTGACTTTGAGCATTAATACTTTTATTAACTTCAAAACAATTTGGCGTTTAATGTGATTTAATGTGATTTTGATGATTTAAAATATCCATCAAAACCCGGCAAGACTGGCAAATGCATATTATTCTGTTGAAATACATTTGTTTTAAAAAAAGAACAATTCATTTTTCTTTTTTGCTTAGAACTATTGTGTATGTTATAAAATATTTCAATACTTATTTGACCAGAAGACAGAAATGTATCACTTTAATCTGTTTGCTTACTTAAACAAGTAAAATTGTACAAATATACCTAACTCAGAAAAAATTAAATATTGGGAAACATTTTTGCAGTATGTCAATTCATTGTTATTCTCTCCATTAGTATTTAACATTAACTGGCTTTAAGTTTGGGGCAACCAATGTAGAAATTTCCAACTCTTGGCTTTAAATACTATTACTACTACTACTAATAATATCAGTAAGTGTCTTTTGAGTGCTTATAATGATAGCTACTGTTCTAAGCACTTTACAGTTATTGCTTGATTTAATTTTCATGGCAACTCAGCAAAAAGTAGTATATTTTTACATGTTTGTTCATTTAACAGATATTTATTGAGTATCTTTGGTTTATATCAGGGAACAAAACAAAAATCCTTGTTTTCATGGAATTTTAGTTCTTGCAAGGAACAATAAATAATAAGCAAAATAGTAAATTGTATAGTGTCAGAAGAAATAAATTGGAAAAATAAAGTGTAGAGCAAGGTAAGAGAGATTGGGAGTGGGATTGGGAGGTAGGGGAGGAGAAAAAGATTAACATTTTAATGACGTGGTCCAGGTAGTCCTCAGTGAGACAGTTACATCTGAGCAAAAACAACTTCTGAGTGAAGAAACGAAGACACAAAGAGGATAAGTAACTTGCTACTGAATAAAACAGCTGAAATTCAAACCTAGGTATCTGATTTCAATCCTATGCTTTAAACCACTACATCCTCGTGTCATCTGGGGCGCTTCCCTACAATATATATCCTGGGGTGAGGCCTGGATGTCCTAAGTACAGATGATTCACATCTCAGGAATCTAAAGGTTAAAGATTAATGTTTTCAAGGTCCATCAGTAATCTCTTGGGAAAGTCTCCAAGTACATCTTATTCAACTGCAAGTTGTTCTTTTTATGTTATTACTGTAGTTGTTGGTTGACTTTAATTGACTCTCAGTGAATGCTGATTCAAGAGAAACCCTAAACACCAGGTGGGATCCTTGACTTTGTTAGAGGACAGAAGTATATGGTTTCACGGTGCTTGTATAATAAACAAGTGAGTATGGTCTTTAAAATCCCAATTCTAAAAACTAGTTCTTAGCCAAAGGCAAGCAAGAAACATTAACAAATATGTAGTCCCTCTTATTATTCCTCTTTCCTTCAGCAACCGGGTGTAAAGAGTTGAATGTTATTTATAACCACCACCCTTCACAAGCCACTGTTCCTCTCACTCACCTTCAGTTGCACTTCCTCTTTTGGTAAAACAAGAGTGAATTTTGCACAATTCTTTTCAGCTGAATTCTGGTCAGTAAGATACGTGAGGTCTGTAATGTCTAGTTTGTCAACATACTGCAATGATAAAGAAAACTCTCATTAAATTATTTCATGGGTAATACACATTTATTCTAGAAGGAGGGAAAATAAATAATAGCTTCCTTTCAACTGTTCTGTACTTTGCATGTTACCCTGTTTTTTCTAATCTCAGAGGGCATTTGGAAATGGATTATGGGGTGGAATGCTGGACCTGGTTCATACAGGTTTGCAAAAGCAGATCATTAAATTTTCAGGAATCTTGCATGCAGGTGTTAAGCACAGGCATTATTAAAAGTTAAATTAAGATGAGTGTAGTGATTCATGCCTGTAATCCCAGCACTTTGGGAAGCCGAGATACGAGGATAGCTTGAGACCAAGAGTTCAAGACCAGCCTAGACAACATAGCAAGACCTCATCCCTACAAAAAATCAAAAAATTAGGCAGTGTGGTGGTGTGTGCCTGTAATATCAACTACACAGGAGGCTGAAACCGAAGGATTGCCTGAGCCCAGGAGGCTGAAGCTGCAGTGATCCATGATCATGCCACTGCACTCCAGTCTGGGCAACAGAGTAAGACCTCAACTCAAAAATAAATAAATGAGAATTAAATTATATGACCATATCAGTAAACAAGTTATATTAAAAGTCAAAGTAATTAAAACTCAAAATTTGTTGCATTTTAATTACATTACTATGTTTTACTATTCTCTATACTTTTGAGGTTATTTACACCTTTGTTTCTGTGTGGCAAAAATATCTTTATAATAGTATGCTACTGTGTTTTCCTTCCCAACTCCATGTTCAATGAGGTCACATAGATAGGTTTCAGTCACCCATGGTGGGAGTATTTATACCATGGAAACTGGTAAACTTTACAAATCGGGGCTTGATTTGTTTGTTGCTTGTGCCAGGGCAGCATTTTTTTCCTGCAAAATACCAAATGGTAAATAACTTTAAAAACATACAGTCTGTTGCATAGTCTTCTTTAGTTTTGTTTTTATTTTCTTAGAACACTTTTAAAATGTATAAAACCATTCTTAGCTCAAAGACAAGAAAATCACTCCACAGAGATTTGGCCCAGGGTTCACAGATCATTGGCCCCTGGTCTAGACTTTCTTAAGTAAAGGAAACAATATTAATAATGCACATGAAACGTCAATGTTTGTTGTGTTTGAAGCTGTTTCACTGTAAATAGAGCAAAAATAGACAAAATATTATTCCAGAACTCAAAAGCTAATATCTAATTCAGCAAAGACATTGCTCATGTCACTGACCTTAACACATACATGAAGTTCTGACTTACATAATTATTGTTTTACTTGCTAATGTAAATGAAAATATGAAGCCAACATTCGTGTTAAATATCATATTTAATGACAAATTTATTAGGGAAACAGCAGATTGGAATACCTCTTCATCTGTCAAATCATGACTGAAGTACAATGATAGTTGCTAGCAAAATCAAGAAAAGCATTCTGTGAGAATCAGCTATACAGAAGTTACAATAAAGAGTACTGTGTATTTTTTTAATTGTGTGTTGCATTCTTTATTATCAGTAATCATCATAAGTTTATGTACATATATTCATTTTTTTCTAGAAAGTCACTGTTCAACATTTACCACACACTCCTGGTTATGAGGATAATACTAAGAAATTTCTATCTTATCCAAGAACAATGACAATATTTCTTCTGAGAAACTGGTCTATATGGACTGGTCTATATGCAGTGGGCCAGGCTTGCCCTTTAGTATGAGAAAGAGCTACCTGTGGTAAGTGTAGTGATAGATGTATATTTGTGTGCATCTATACCACAAATATATATATATATGTATAGTATATGCGTAATATACAGATAGATAGATAGATAGTATGTAACCCTAATTTATCTCTAAATTAGATTTATCTTGACTTTTTTATCTCTTTTTATTTTTCTCAGTTTTGCTTAATCTAATTTATTTTACTGTATCTTTGTAAGTCTTCTTATTTTTCTGAATAAAATAAGGCATAAAAAGTAGGTGAATAAGCCGGGCTCGGTGGCTCAGCCTGTAATCCCACACCTTTGGGAGGCTGAGGTGAGTGGATTGCCTGAGCCCACAAGGTTCGAGACCCGCCTGGGCAGCGAGACTTCATCTCTACAATAAATCAAAAAATCAGCCGGGTGTGGTAGCGTGCCCCTGTAATTCCGGCTACTTGGAAGGCTGAGGCGGAAGGATTACCGGAGCCCAGCAGGTCG